CTTTCCAATTTCTCCACATCTTTTTTAAAATGCGGCGCCCAGAACTGGACACAATAATCGCGCTGACACCAATCATCAACCTCTTCCCAAACCGAGGCTGCAGAGTCCACCTGCCTTTAAGATTCCAGGTACAGGGCCCTGCCCAGGATCGGCTGCCCCTTTTAGCTCATAACGAAGCTTTGTTGCTGCCTGCCATAAGCCACGGTAACTGCAGGACAATACAGATTTCTCTCCTTATGTTAACACTACAACGCCTCTTACCGTGGAGCTCGGCTCAGCCATGCAGACTCCTGCCAGCCCTCTTACAGAAACAGAGCCACCCTTGAACGGAGACGATTCCTAGTGTTGCTCTTGCGCCTCTCACATCAGAGGGCCAAGACTCGTCTATGCTGGACAGTTAATTTGGATTAAAGGTAAGGGGGGTGAATGAAGTACAAGAGCTGTTCCCGGCTAGCTCCATGTGTAGACACACCCACTGTGCTTTGTAGGTGGCCCTCTCTAGCCCACTAAAGGGGGAGAACAAGGCAGCTTTATTCTGTGGCAAGTGGAGCAGAGCCAGAGATTCAAGCTGGCCAAATAGTCCCGCTGGCTTTCACAGCGAGCAAGGCGAGGAGAGGCCCGCCCTTCCCCAGAGATCACCCAGTGGTGTGTGTTTATTTGGGGCGGCTGCTAATCAGGGATTTAACCAGTCTAGCAGTCTCCTCTGGCGAAGGCGGAAGGAGCGAGACAATGGAAGCCAGCAGGCTCTATAGGTTAAGGTTCCACAAGCCAAGATTTTTCTTGCAGCCTCTGTGCTATTAACAGCTGCTTTGATGTGGATGTGAAGTGAAGCTTTCCTTCCCAGAAGGGAAACGGCCCATGGGGGAGATGCTGGCACACACTGGGGGCTGGTTCCGGCACTAGTGCTAGCTGGTGAACCTAGATATCAATGCCGGCGTTGGTTTGCAGAAGGACTGTGTGCCTTTCATTCTCTGCCCATCATTTTAAACACTTCATTGCGGGGTTTTTGAGCCCTGAAGAAAGGTCTGAGTCTAACCTGCCAAGACACTCACTGGCTGCATCTGAATGGCTGAGTGGACTGGGAAGAAACAGATTGCAACATTCTAGGCGCAGGTTCGGATCAGCCCATCACGGAGGTGTGTGAATGCCAGGGGAGAGTCACAGCGTGACCGAGAGAGCCCTTAGGGCCACCAAGCCGGGAAGGAGCAGAAACAGCTGCATGTTTAACCCACACCACTTGCTCCCATTCAGGGATCTATCGGTATTGCAGGGGTCACTGCTTATCAGCCCTGCTTGGATCTGTGCTGACAGAAGTTCACTTCCAGTGAGGAGCAGCACGTTAGTGCGGTCCAGTCTTTAAACACTAATCCTATACCTCGCTGGGAGGGAGGGGAGTCTCCTCGCAGAGGGGAAACGGAGGCATGGAAGTGTGTCTGTGTCTCTCTCACTCACACGCTCCCCCAGCTCTGCCACTGGTGGGTGGGTGTGTGCGTGCGCGCGCACAGATTTTCTTACAATCCAAATATAGGGTCACAGGGACCATTGTGATCTAGTCTGACCTCCCATACAACACAGGCCAGAGAACTTCTAAGATAAACGTTTCGACCCCTCCCGCCCTCCGACTCACACTTCGATACCAAATGCCACTTAGACGAAATACACAGCATCGAGACAAGACCATCCCTCTCTGCCCTGCCCTGCCCTATCTGGGTTAGCAGTGCAAGGAAGGAGAGTCTCTGTTCTCCCCTCCCCCTAGGGGCTAATGAATTTCAATAGCTGGACCAAGGGGAAAAAAAAGAGTCAGACAGACTGAGCCTCTCCTGGGATCCCGTGGGTCACGCTGAGGAGGCGTCTCATCACTGCTATGAAGAGCCCATTCAGTGAAAGAGGCCAAGGGGTTTGCAGGCTGGAACTCCCTGGGAGAGCAGTCATGCTAACTGGAAGGTCTGATGTCAGGGGCTCTCTCTCTCTCTCTCTCATATGATACTGATGCCCCTAACTAGCATACTTGATAATAGTATCGTGGTACCACCCGGGAGCCTCCTCATGGCCCAGGATCCCATTGGGCTAGGCACTGCACAAACACAGGCCCCGCCACCAAGAGGGGGTGGAGGGTCCTATCAATGCAAGCTCATGTGACTCTGGGCCTGCACTGCCTCCCTCTGGGAGAGAGGAGCAGGAATCAAGCGGGTAGAAAGTTTGAAAGCAGCTCTGATCTCACTGGCATTTCCCAGAAACAGGTTGTTTTCTACACGAGGGCAATAAAGTTAGGGAAAGGGTTTAATCACTAGCCCTGGTCACCCGCCTTCAGGGCCATGAGAGCAGGCAGGCAGGCTCTGCCCCACTGGCACCCCAAAACAGCTGGTCGGTTGTGGGGCATATTTCAAGAACTCCTGGTCTAATCTGCTCTGTGGCTTGCACCCATCCAGTCCCAGAGCAGTCTCCATCCAGTCAGAGGAAGACCAGAGGGAACACCAGAGAGCTACTGATTTGGGATTTAACAGCCCCCAGGTATAGACAAGAGCAGCATGACTCCCGGGAAATGCGAATGCTTCCACATCCAGCATGTTCTGCACTTCAAGCAGAACTCTCCAGTCATCACTTGCATGGGGCATCACATTACACTCTAGCAGAAAACGCAGCAAGATTTGACTGCAGCTGAAAATCACTTCCCCTCCTTTATCTATCAGCCAAGACCTGCCGCTCAGGTTTCACTTTCTCCTGCAGCCAACCACTAAACTGCAGGCACCAGCCGTTCGACAAAGAACCCTGGACTTGGGAGATCAAGAGCTTGGAGGCTCACCTTCACCAGTGAGCTATTTTACTGCGGAGACAGCGTTTAAATATTAACCCAGCCCCATTCCCCCAATGGGTGGTTGGCTTGAAATAACTGAACTGAACTATGCTGGATGCATGCAAGGCAGCAAGCAAATCAGGAAGGCCCAACCCGAGAACTTTGGCCTTATTTAAAACACCTGCACAAGTCTCCTCAGTGCTAGCAACAGTGCCTGTGCCAAGTTCTAGATCAGTGGTTCTCAACCAGAGGTCTGGGACCCCCAGGGGGCCACAAGCAGGTTTCAGGGGGTCCTCCAAGCATGACTGGCATTCGACTCGCTAGGGCCCAGGGCAGAAAGCCAAAGCCCCGCCACGCACGGCTGCAGCCCAGGACCCCGAGCCCTGCCATGTGGTGCTGACGCTGAAGCCTGAGCAACTTCGCTTTGTGGGGGCCCCTGTGGCACAGGGCCCCAGGCAACTGCCCTGCTTGCTACCCCAATGCCGGTCCTGGCTTTTGTATGCAGAAAAGCCGTTACGGCACAGCTGGGCTGTGGAGTTTTTATAGCATGTTGGGGGCCTCAGAAAGAAAAAGGTTGAGAACCCCTGCTCTAGAGGAGCGTTTAGGGCCCCAATCCAAAGCTCACTGAAGTCAAGGGAAAGATTCTTCCATTGATTTTAATGGGCATTCAGCCCAACAGGTAGGACCCAGCACAGTCACTCCATTGGTAGTGCAAGCAGCACTGCGTCATGGCAACTCCAACTAATCCTACTTGCCTACACGCCTCTGGAAACAAATCCACAAGGCTCCAGCGGTCCCTGAAGTTGGTCCTGTGCAACAGACTCCTCCCCAAGCCAGCAGAGACCAACTCGCTTCCAGCTGCCTGACCCCTGCCCGTTGCTCCTCCTCCGGCCTTTGTCTCGCTTCCCAAGCCAAGAGTCACCTGGTCGCATCCCCCTCCTGGGTCTCAGGTTACGAAGGGGCGGCCACAGCATCCCTGCAGGCAGTTGGAGCAGATCCCACAGAAGTCACACATGCTTATTCCCACTACCTAGGCATTGGTGCAATACACAGGGAAACTGAGGCATGCACAGCATTCGTTGAAAACAGTAAGACTCCCATACAACAAGGGAAAATCCCCACTTCGTCACACAAACCAATGAGCACAGTTTGACTGAAATTTCGCTAACTCTTCATGTATTTTGGACACCAGATATTAGGATTATTGCTCCAGGAAGCCTTGAAGATGCAGCCACGTTTGGGGTGTAAGTCTCAGTCAATGCTCCAAAGAGAGAAGTCTGCCAAGCTGCAGTAACTTTCCATATTTAACAACGTGCTTGCTGATTGGGCTGGCGACAACCACCTCATCTGCAGATCAATAGGAACAGACCCTTAGTAGCTACTGCTCCCTACCTGTTGTCAGGGGTGGCAATGCAAGAATTAACTGCTGGTAGATCGATTCCCCCACTTCCCTCAGAGATCTGAATGGGAAGTTCTCTCTCCAAAAGCGTTAACCGGTCTTGAGTGCAATACAGACTTCCCACCTGACAACACAGCCCCAGGGTCCTTTGCCATCGACTGTTGTGACTGCACTTCTCCAAGCCCAAGGGGTAGAGAGGCCCACCCACCCCTCCTAGAAAAAGGACAAAGCAAGGGAACCCTCATGCATATTTCATCCAAAGAGAAATCTTCCCGGAGATCAGGTTCGCTGGCACTTTAAGCGTGTGCTCAAGTTAGGGTTGGGGCTGTGTTTAGCCTTTTCACATTTATCATGATCAGTATCTGGGGCAGAGCGCCGTGACCCAATAGCAAGGTCTGTTTCTACTGTTTCTGCAAAAAGAACAGCAGTACTTGTGGGACCTTAGAGACCATCACTCGCGCAGTAACAAGGAACTGTTAGAGTGGCAGGAGAAAAGAGATAAATGTCTATCAGGGATGGTCTCGACCGTATTTGGTCCTGCCATGAGGGCAGGGGACTGGACTCGATGACCTCTCGGGGTCCCTTCCAGTCCTAGAATCTATGAATCTAGGCCATGGTTTTATAAGCAAGTTTGTTTTGTGAATAGTTCACCAGGAGAATGGGGTTGTCCCTGTGCTTTGGGATCACTACATGCTCATGATCACGTAAGAAAAGCTATGAATGTCACAATGCCTCAAAGTTGTATTGTTATTTGATTAAAAAGCACTGCCATCACGATCTGGTGGAGTAAGTTAAACCCCCTCTCAAGTGGGACACTGGGAAAGCAGCAACTAACTCCCTGACCTTTTCATTGGGAGAATAGGAATGGCTTTGTGTTAACGGACCACGTCACAGCATAGCAGGGAGCTCAGTCTGACAGCTCCATTTGGTCTTTTACATGGGAACAGATCGATTTGCCCAACTCTCTCTCTGCTCTGAGGAATAGCAGCATGAAGCTGCATGACCCAGGAGGGACTGAGGCCAGGGACAGAGAGGAAAATGCAAATTAACAAGGAAAAGGAAACTTTCTGGTAATGTAAATGCCTGTAGCGATAGGTCCCCTGCCCAGACCAGAAGTGGGTTTGTTCTCAAAACCTTTAGGGCTACAGCTGGTTTTCAGACATCACATATTTCCAAGATTTTAGGCTAGAAGAAACCATTATGACAATCTACCCCTCTAGAAGAGGCCAGAGTTTTGTATTTGTGAAGGGCTGGATTTGTTTAGGGGAGGGATAGCTCAGTGGTTTGAGCATTGGCCTGCTAAACCCAGGGTTGAGTGTTCAATCCTTGAGGGGGGCCACTTAGGCATCTGGGGGAAAATCAGTACTTGGTCCTGCTAGTGAGGGCAGGGGGCTGGACTCAATGACCTTTCAGGTCCCTTCCAGTTCTAGGAGATGGATAGCTCCATTAATTTTAATTTTATTTTTAATCAGAATAAGTTGATCTGGACTAATCGATACCACTTAACTTGCAGTGTAAACTGACAGACTAATGCAGAAGTGATTTGCCAAAGAGTTTCCACCTAAGTTATCTATGCCTGTGGTACACGTTCTTGATTAGCTGCACGCTGAAATGACAGTACTAATGCCAAATTACACAAAACAAGCCTCCTAGCTCATTTGCCACTTACAAGGCGGCTTTCATCTCCTGAGCAGCACATTTTCTTGGCAGCAGTTTATCAAAAAATCACCCACCTTGTTTCACGAGCATTTAAGAGAGAGTCAGAGCTGCTCCCTACATATTCATAGACTTGTTAAGTGGCAAGACTACAAGGGTCTTGTACACAGAGACATTCAAACAGATTTGCACTTTTTCTGATCTGCTGTGTCTATCGAAAGCAGCATTTGCCAAGGGTACTAGACTTGTTACCCAAATGGAAGAGGAAACTTCAGGCATCCCCAAGCCCACATCCGTAAGGGAACAGCTGGTGTTTTGATTTATGGAGCAACAAGCTGTTCAGCCCCCCTCTGTACCTGTTTTTGAGAAGATTAGCTGAAGAATAAGAGGACGTCGGGTGACAATTCCAGACCCACGGGGAAGAAAGTCTCTGTAAGGAAATAAAAGAGATGGAGTTACTCACAAGGCTAAACAACCAAGGCATTCAGAGACTACAGTGAGCAGTAGCATACAAGCACCTTATTATTTGTATAATGGCAACGCCTAGAGACTCCATTGTGACAAACCCTGTACGTGCTCCTGGCCCTGCTGAGCTTACGATCTCCTCCATTTTACAGATAAATCATTCGCCTTTTGTTGTACCTCAATTCCCCAAAGACACTGGGGATCTGTGGCAGAACCCAGCACCCTAGCCACACCACCATCCTTCCATTCAGTTTTCACCCAAGTCTCCCATATTCACAGTTCTTAGAGAGGAAACCTCATTACAGGAATGAGTTTCTCATTCTCCTGACTACCAGGATATGACCTCTCCTGAGGCCTCTGGAGAGGATGCCGCTAGTTTTATGCTACAGCGGAGCTGGGGTAGATAGAAGGAGCTGTATTGACATGCACATCATGCTCTAGTATCTGAAGAGACAAGCAGCACTGTCAAACAGAGGGACGGACAGCTCCCGTGTCCTCAGGTGCCCCTTTGCCTTACAGCTTGTAAGTGGTCGATATCAAGGTTCACAGCAGAAGGGTCTGGTCTTCCAGCCACCAACGTTTTAATAATGATCAGAGCTTGCAGGGTTGTTAAAAATTGTGTGCTCATCATGGTGAGCTGAAAGACAGACAGTTTAACGGGGGAAAGAGACTCAGTCATTTTCTTTTTATTCCTGGAAGCCACACGGGTCTAAGTGATTCGAATTATTTCCCAGAAGAGCTGGATTTCTGATGAATTGCAGAGACAAAGAGCTGGCAACACTCCTCGGACACAGACAGAGCTCTTGGAGTGAGTCAACCCCACCCCTTTCTACTGGGTAGAAACTCAAGTGTGCAGAGCCATTAAGAGAGTCCAACATGTAGGCCTCTTCTGCCCGGAAACGGTGCTCCTCCACATCCTAGACGTGCTGTTTTGTTAGAGACAATTACTGCAGCCTGAACGGCTCCAGTTCTCCTCAACGACAGCACTGAGAAGAGTTAGACAGAGCTGCTAGGGCAGGAGTGAGGGGCACGTCATGCAGGTTTTCTGAGCCGTTCTTTTGTCTAGCATTCATGGCTTCACCGGCTTTGAAATGGGAGAGAGAAACGCTGCCTAGGAAAGACTGTGCTGAGAGCTTTCCCATTTGTTTCAGCCCGACAGTCATCTGGCCTTCTCCAAATCCCCCTGCAGTGGGAAGCTTTTGGCCTTCCTACTCCTATAGCTTCCACGATCGCTGTGATGCGCTGCAGCTGTGCCATTTGCTCTCTCAGATAAGGGGTAAGATAAGCACATCGCCACAGTGTGAAGAAGCCTGCCAGGCATCTCCATTATTTTGCCCTTTATTTAGCTATTACACACGTGAGTGACATTTGTGTACAGTTGTGTTAATTTTGCATACTAGGTGTGCAAACTGGCAAGCCTGGTACACTGGGTGCCCTCATTAGACCCCAGGGTTAACAGACTATGACACAGTTTTCCTCTCAGGTCTGTTTCAAGCTGCCTGCAGACTCAAGAAGATGCCAGGGAGACCCCACTTCACATTTGCAAGGTTAGCATCTAACAAGTGGAAGCTTGAGTTGTGCAGAATCTGACCACCATGGGTGGCTAAATGGGCCAGTGCCAAAGAGCAGGCTGGAGGCGAACACCATTCTGCCCAGCCGGTGGCTTGTGCTGCAGTGATCACAGCTCTGTAGCAAAACGTGAGCTTGAAGCAGGTCACTCGGAGCACTGCATGAAGAACGCTGTGTACACCCAGCTCAAGTACAGGTTAGCCGAACTGGGGTAGAGCCGAGAAAATGAGTCATCAGAGCAAGTCCAATGAACTCTTCCCACCAAGCACGTGGAATAAACATCTTCCCACGAGACCGGAAATACAGATTCTGTGGACACAACATCTGCTCCTGCAACATCTGTTCCTGGTGGGAACCAGCAGGAAGACGAAGTGTTTAGTCTGTCATGGAGGTCTGCTCTCCTTGGTTTATTTTCCCTTGTGCTCTGCTTTGCTCTAAGTGCTACCTTCCAGCCACAACCCTCAGAATAACCCAAGATACGGAAGTCTCACACGAGTCCTTACGTGCCATTTGGAACATGATCACTGTTCTCTGGCTCCCGGCTCAATACACAAGATGATGTGGGCCTGTACTCCAAGCAGCCACACACTCCTCCACAAATCAGCAACTGGCTTCCTGTCACCAACTTCTACCCCAGCCCCATCTACTCCCATCTTACGGGAGAAATCATAGAAGATTAGGGTTGGAAGAGACCTTAGGAGGTCACCTAGTCCAATCCCCTGCTCAAAGCAGGGCCAACCCCCAACTAAATCATCCCAGCCAGGGCTTTGTCAAGCCTTAAAAACCTTTAAGGATGGAGATTCCACCACCTCCCTAGGTGGGCCATTCCAGTGCTTCACCACCCTCCTAGAGAAATAGTGTTTCCTAATATCCAACCTAGACCTCCCCCACTGCAACTTGAGGCCATTGCTCCTTGTTCTGTCATCTGCCACCACTGAGAACAGCCAAGCGCTATCCTCTTTGGAACCCCCCTTCAGGTAGTAGAAGGCTGCTAACAAATCCCCCCTCATTCTTCTCTTCTGTAGACTAAACAAGCCCAGTTCCCTCAGCCTCTTCTCGTAAGTCATATGCCCCAGCCCCCTGATCATTTTCAGTGCCCTCTGCTGGACTCTCTCCAATTTGTCCACATCCTTTCTGTAGTGGGAGGCCCAAAACTGGACACAGTACTCCAGATGTGGCCTCACCAGTGCCAAATAGAGGGGAATAATCATTTCCCTCGATCTGCTGGCAATGCTCCTACTAGTGCAACCCAATATGCCATTAGCCTTTTTGGCAACAAGGGCCCACTGCTGACTCATATCCAGCTTCTCGTCCACTCTAATCCCCGGGTCCTTTTCTGCAGAACTGCTGCTTAGCTGGTCGGTCCCCAGCCTGTAGCAGTGCATGGGATTCTTCTGTCCTAAGTGCAGGACTCTGCACTTGTCCTTGTTGAATCTCATCGGATTTCTTTTGGCCCAATCCTCCAATTTGTCTAGGTCACTCTGGACCCTATCCCTACCCTCCAGTGTATCTACGTCTCCCCCCAGCTTAGAGTCATATGCGAACTTGCTGAGGGTGCAATCCATCCCATCATCCAGATCAGCAATAAAGATGTTGAACAAAGCCACCCCCAGGACCAACCCCTGGGGCACTCCACTTGATACCGGCTGCCAACTAGACATTGAGCCGTTGATCACTACCCATTGAGCCCAACAAGCCAGCCAGCTTTCTATCCACCTTATAGTCCATTCATCCAATCCATACTACTTTTAACTTGCTAGCAAGAATGCAGTGAGAGACCGTATCAAAAGCTTTGCTAAAGTCAAGACACATGTCCACTGCTTTCCCCATATCCACAGAGCCAGTTATCTCATCATAGAAGGCAATCAGGTTAGTCAGGCATAACTTGCCCTTGGTGAATCCATGTTGACTGTTCCTGATCACCTTCCTCT